CACACTTCAGATTCTCTTCCTCACATATTTTTGGTTGTTTGGCAAGTCTAAATGGATTTGCCTAATCACAACTTCCTATACATGATTAGCCATTTTTTTCTCAACTGACTGCCTCCACAGACACCCCAGCTGCCTGCAATGACCAAATCTATAACTGTGAGGTTAGGGAAATTTTTATATATTGTTAAGAAGAGACATTCTAAATCAGTAGTGCATATTACCCAAATATCCCTTACTGAAATACATGGCTGTAAATCATCAGCCAGATGATTCTAATTGAATATTGGGAAGGTGAGTACTGCTATAAAGATAAATCACATACATCAAAGATCATCTCAGAATTAGTGATTTGTACAATAGGTGGAATAAACATAAGGGTATAAATTGGAAAACTGTAAATTTAATTCTACTACAAATTATTTTTTCAAGGAATCCCTTAACATTGCATCTATATAACAAAAAGGAGTAACACTGTTTACCTTCTGTCCCATGTAAAAACAAATAAACAAAACCAAAAATAATCCCCCCCCAAAAAATGGTCTGGGGCATTAAGAATGTCTATAAAATAGATCTACTAAATGTTTATAACTGTTCAAAATAGCTAAAGTAGCCATATTCATGATTTTTATATTAAAGACTATTGGTAAAAGTGAGAAAGTCAATCATTCAGGTATTTCCCCAACTCCAGATATTTGATAAAAAATGGGAAAAATTCAGAGTATTAACAGAGTTTTCAGACAGATGTTTTCCAGTTCTGCCTCCTTTTCAGAATCTTCACAATCTTCTCAACAGGTCCAGTAGAGTCCACATACGGGTTCCTGCACAGCCTTCCCCATCTCACAAATGGCACCCCGATCCATTAGATTGCTCTATTAGAAGGACTAATTAGAGTATGTCCAAGGGCCTCAACCTTGGACATACCCCGCATCTAGATTACCAATAAGTGGCATCACTTATATCTTCACCATCCATTTTTCTCTACCTTCTCCAAGTGTCCCCTAACTGATCTCTGTTCTCACTCTTGCCCCCTTCAATGCATTTTCTTTACAGCCGCTGAGTGATCTTCTAAAAACAACAAATTTGACCATATCACATGCTGAACACGTTTCAAGAACTTCCCATTGCACTTGAAATAAAATAACAAATCTGTAAATACGGTCAACAAAGCTGTACATGATCTGCCCCCTGCTCACCTTGACAGTATCATTTCGTGTCATTCACTATCTTGTCATTAAGCTTCAATCACAACCGACTTCTTTCAGTTCCTGGAAGGTACGAAGATCTTTCCTACACTGGGGCCTTCGTACACACATGCTTTTTACTTCTGTCTGGATACTGTTCTCCACTCTTTGTCCAGCTAACTTCTAATTTTATTTGTATTTCAAAGTTTAGCTTAAGTGGCACTTCCTCAGGGAAGTCTTCTTTGACCCACTATTTAATTCGTGCCTCCTTAATCATTTATGCTCATTCATAGCATGTTGCCCAATTTATATTATAGGTGTTTTCTACATCAGACCATAATCTTCTTGAGCAAGAATTCTCTCTGTTTTCTTTGTGAATCCTCATTCCCTGGGTCTGTGTCAAGTCCACAATAAATACTTCATAAATATTTGTTGAATCACTGAAGAACTAAATTAATGACCACATTCAGTTAGCTCTGTATTATATACTCATAATTGAGGCTAGTTAGCCCAGTTGGCGGGAGTGTTGATATTTACTATTGAGAATGCCCACATGCTCAGTGAAGGGAAGATAAGGGTCTGAAAGCACATATTAAATTTTAAATTCTCTGGAGCATTTTGGATCTCCTGATTAAGATGAATCACATCTTCCTCTTTGTTCAATTGGAATCATGGCTCAAGTTCAACCACAGAGCTGATTTCATTCTGTCTAGCATTAAAGTGAGTTGGCTTTATGTCTCTCTCTCTCCCATTAGAACTTTCTGATTCTCCCATTAGAAGCACATCTGATTCATCTTCATTGTCTCCACTGCATAAGAGTTTCCATGGCATGAGTTAAACATTGACAGAAATTAAAAAAATATATATCATCATTCAAAAATAAAGAATAAAGGTGCCAAGGGAGGTTAAGACTGCAAGGTATCATCAGATTTAGTGTAGAATCCAATTTACTCTGATTCAGCACTTCCTGCGTTCAAGGCACAGGGAAAGGCATCAAGGATTTAAACAATGACTGAAACAGTTTCTTTCTCTGTGAATCAATAAGCTCTAATATAGAGAAACAAATCCCCATCAGTGATCTTTGTATGGTGACAGTACAAAAAAGTATGACTGACTCAACATAATCCCAACAGGACCAATAGGCCCACAGCCCTCTACAGGAATTTGGCAGGAGCCTGCTTTCAGGGATGTAAAATTAGCTCTACCAGTTTCCTGGTTCTCCTTTCCCCAGTAGAAAAAGCCCATCACCCATCAGCTCGGTGCTTTGTGACCAACTAGAGGGGTGGTATCAGGAGGGTGGGAGGGAGGGAGACGCAAGAAGGAAGAGATATGGGAACATATGTGTATGTATAACTGACTCACTTTGTTATAAAGCAGAAACTAACACACCATTGTAAAGCAATTATACTCCAATAAAGATGTTAAAAAAAAATAAGTTATACATATATATATGTTCCCATATCTCTTCCCTCTTTGTCTCCCTCCCTCCCACCCTCCCTATCCCACCCCTCCAGACAGCCACAAAGAACCGAGCCGGTTTCCCTGTGCCATGCGGCTGCTTCCCACTGGCTATCTACCTTACGTTTGTTAGTATATATATGTCCATGTCTCTCTCTCGCCCTAACACACCTCACCCTTCCCCCTCCCCATATCCTCAAGTCTGTTCTCCAGTAGGTCTCTGTCTTTATTCCTGTTTTACCCCTAGGTTCTTCATAACATTTTTTTTTTCTTAAATTCCATATATATGTGTTAGCATACAGTATTTGTCCTTCTCTTTCTGACTTACTTCACTCTGTATGACAGACTCTAGATCTATCCACCTCATGCTGCATACTTTCATTGGGTTATTGCCTGGGTATTCCTGGTCGATTAATGCTCACCGGTCCCCACGTCTCACTCTCTTTGTCCCAGGGAAATTCCTGCCCCACTCCTGGCTCCAAGGAGAAAATAGTTCAGACAGAAGTAAACCAGCTAGGGCCCTAATACCAAAGATAGAGATCCCCCCAAAATGTGTTCCTGATAAAATTAAGGAGTTTTGGCAATCGATCCCCTAGAACCTTTAAGTGCTCTGCTGAGCAGCTGGAGGTCATCGAGTGACTCAGCACTCCATGACCTCCTAATGGATGGTAATGCTTTGCTGAGTGCTTTCAACTAGTACGTGCCTTAAGGCTGTGCTGAATAATTGCTGTTAATTGAATTGTAGAAATATCTATGCTATTTATATATAGTATATCTTTTTAATCGAAGTAGTGGGATGCTCATTTGGTTTAACTTTAAAGCACATGGCAAATATGATTTTAGTACATGTGTAGGATAGAAGGTCTTTTCTTTCATAACACCAGACATTGTGGTATGGAAATGCTTTACTTCTTTTCTTCCCGCCTACCTCCCCCAGAATTAATTATGTGATTTTAATGCATTTGAATTTAACTCACGAGGGATCCTTGATTATTTTATTAGATTACCAAACAATTGTAGCAAAGGCTGCAAGTATATGGAGCAAACTACAAATAACATGTATATACTATATAGTTAATACTTGTTGTCAATTTGTGCCAGCCATTATTCTAAGCACCTTATGTATATTGACTAGTCTAATCCTCACAAGATTTCTAGGGGCAAGTGCTATTATTACCTGCATTTTGTAGATAAGAAAATTAAGGCTCAGAGAGGTTAAGCAATTTGCCCAAGGTCAAACAGCTAGTGAACTGCAGAGCTAGGATTCCAACTTAGGCACTTTGGCTCTGGAGTCTGCACTCAACCAGCAAGCTTTTCTGCTCACCACTTGCCAGCTATTAGTTAAATGTTTAATTCTCATAAGCCCAATGGGATGCTACCATTATGATCCCCATTTAATAAGGGGGTTGGTCTAACCAACATCACTCTGCTAGTAAGTGGCTGAACCAGGCTTTTAAACTCAGTCCCGCCTGACTCTTGGGTCTGAGATCTTAAATACCACCCACCACTACCTCGCAGAGAAGGTGGTGTGCTTATTTGTAAATCACATATAGCATTAGAGATTACACAGATTTTAAGGGAAAGGGAAGTAATTTACTAAAAGAGTATAGTGACTCTGTCGTCAAAATCTTTTAAAATATTTAAAATACTCAAGCCAATTATTTGATTTTTCTAAAATATTTGAAATACTGTTAATATTAAATGTCATCATGCTGAAGAGCAGAGCTCAAAGGACTATTCTTAAAAATTAATATAATGATTCAGCTTACTGTTTATGTGATTCACCAGGGTAACTGCAATTACCTCAAGAGATTTGTGACCATTTCAGAAAAATAAATTTTAACTTATTTTGACTACTGCAAGTATAAAATGCTATGTAGTACTTGAGTACAACAGATAAGAGTATTATAAAATCAAAACAAATCACAAGTGTCATAAAAATATAATAATCGTTATTTCAGGATAGGCTATTCCAATTATTATTTTTCACATTACCATTTTACTAAAGGAGGGAGGTTACCATTTACATTTGAAAATTTAGAAAGTATTAACATGCCAGCTAAGTCATGATGATCCGGTAAGATTAAAAATTTATAGAAAAATGTAGATGGTTGTTGCTGTTATTGTTTATAAGAAAATTTCTTCAGAAATCTATTCTTTCCTTCTCTGAGTTCATATTTACAGTATTGGTTTCTTTTACTCTACGTAAAAACCTACCATTATCATAGGATTTCAAAACTCATGGTAAGTGCTGAATATCAGACAATAAAAGAATGGACTACATAGATGGGTTATGGCATAATCTTTAGCCAAATAGGTTGTCACTGGTGTTCTATTGTGAGTTATTTATGTGTCTATTACCTTTAGGCCCTTTGAACAGCTTGATTTCCACAACAGTCTCCAAAATGGGTCGTCTTCTACGCACGTACAGCCGAACGATAGACCCTGCTTCTTTGAGCGCTTCCACTGCTTTACTGTGGGAAACCTCTGACACATCCACCTCGTTCACCCGTAAGATACAATCATTGACCCTGAAAGAAAGGAAAAGAGGCGAAGGTCAGGAGTGGCTAAGAGAATTTCTGAAAGAATCTTATGAGTATCTAACCTTAAGATGTGGGGAGGCAAAAGGTATAGGCAATTTAAAAATATTTATACTTGGAAGAAATACTTCAAATGAAGGAAATCAAGAAAACCTTGAACTCCTCAGCCTTTACAGTTTTCCCAACACTGACCACCCTGCTGGTCAGGTCCCATACTGAACTCCAGTCCACTCTGAATGGGACTGCATCACATAGGGGGCAGTTAGAAGGACACATATTTTAAGGTCTCTGTCAGTCACATCAGCATTTTGATTGGTTTTAATTGGCTTGACTGAGGGTTACAATTTGAGTGGTTCTCAGAACTTACTCCCATAGACTATATAGACACAGCGAATGTAACTTTATAAATTAGTTTTTCTTGAATTTTTAATTTACTAGCTATAAAAGTAATATATAATCATTTTAGAAAATCTGAAAAATATAACACGCAGAAAGAAAAAAATATATACATGATTCAATCATCTGAAATAATGTTAGCTTTCTGGCAAATTATCGTCCAGTGCTTTTATTTTCCCCTCAAATTCATTTCACGATACTATAGGGATTAAAGTTCAGATCTCACAAAATTCAAACAACATCTCAATCCTCGCCCTAGGTACTTTCTTTAAAAACTAAGAATTATGACACGGCCTACATTAGACTTTTCCTTTTTGCCATTTTTTTCATGGGAAGGAACAAGCTGACTTTTCCATTAAGCTTTCTAGATACTTTATAGTTCATAGTGGCCCGTGAACTGTAAATCTCTTTTATATTCACAATAATAATTAGTGAGAATATTAATAATGGCTAAGGGTGTCAGACTTGAGATTAGAAGGAGTTCTTCCCCTCACTCCACAGATCCATTCTCGCGTTCCCCATCCCAGGTCACTGTGTTGCTCGGAGTAAGAAATAAGGGGTTTTACCCCGGCTTCACCCCTCCTCCCACCGCCCATTCGGCTCCACCTGCAAAGTATATCTACAGTCCATCCAGGTTCCCCATCTCCAGTGCTACCCCCTCGGCTGAAGTCAACATCATCTCTCACCTGAACTACGTCCACAGCCTCCTACCTAGTCTCTCCGATCCTCTCTTGTCACCTTCCAACTCATTCTCCACAGTGGCCAGGATAAAGTGGACGTGGTTGGTTGCTTAACCCCCTTCCATTCCATTCCCCGCTTCCTTCTTCCAAACAGTGCCTGATTTTGTTCAGGTGATCGATTCTTCAGCAAATTTTTGTTAAATGAACGAAAGAGCAAGTCTAAGTTCAATTATTGGGCCCTCTATTTCCTAAGTTTGTAAACATTGATAATTTTTTTAACTTCTCTAAGCCTCCATAGTCTCATCTATAAAATAGATATAATAGTAATGCCTATGATAAAGACTTTGGGGAAGATTAAATGTGGCAATGTACATATAAGTCCTTAGCACAGACCCCAGTATGTAATAAGCACCTAATAAATGGTTGTTATTGGTAGCAGTGCACAATTTGTTGATTTGCAATATTCTTAACTATTGGATTCCTTCCATAGTCTTGTGGAATAGGATCTATTACCCATATTACACAGATAAGAGTTGTTCCAAGTGGTTAAGTTCTTTGTCTAAAGCTGTCAGCAATTTGATTAGAGATTGGATATGATCCTAGGTCTTATTTCAAGATTTGTTCTTTCCTCTTAGGACACATACATCTAACGTGATGAATAGTTTCATGTATGTTGTGCGCATCAATTTAAAATTATAACACGGTAGTGGAAATATATAAAAAGTATGGGAAGAATTTTCCTATCTCTTTTGTTCATAACTTTTCTATACCTATTTGCGGAACTGAGTGATAGGAACTCTTGGCTCAATAAGAACGCTGATTAGCTTCAAATTCTTGAGCTAGAACAATCTCACTTACTAAGATTCAGTGGTGTCATTTCATCATAACAGATGCTATGGCTTTAATAGGTTTATACAGACATTTCCTCTCTGACTGACTAAAAAAAATCATGGAAAACTACCAATTAAAATAGTTTTGAGAATGTAGGCATCATGGGTGCCAGCCGCCCTGCAGCAGCTGGTCCTTTGAGAGTGGGTAATTTTGTCATCTCATGATAATGCAAAAACATAATGTTTACCATCACCCTATGCTCAGCATGCTAATCATATATTAAAACACTGCTTTCCATAGAAGGGAGTGGCTGACATTAAAGAGAAAATTCTGGATGCTCTATCTATTCAAACTCTACTAAATCTTTTCCTTTTGTATACACTGGAATCCTTAATTGTCAAATGCTGGGGTGAGGAAATCACAGCCTAAATCAGATGTTTTTTTTTCTGAACATGTGGACAAAGTAGGCAGCTTTAGTGCACTAAAAATCCCCACCGGACTAGCAGTCACGAGGTTTGGATTTGAGTCCCAGCTGTGTATCAGCGGTGCGACCATGGTCGAGTCACTTCATCTTTTTGAACTTCAGTTTCCCATGAAAAGAGAGTAAGCTTGCCTAGAGTTAATGACAGGAGTAACCAGACAGATAAATATATGGATGTATGCGTAAACGGTAACGTACCATATATGAGAGAGTTGCAGCTACTGATAGGTGAATCAAAGAGGCTGTGCTCAGAATTTGTTGAAAGGTAAATAGGATGGAAATTGAAAATTTTAAAGGGTCTACTATGTGCCATATATCATTTTAGTGACTTCACTTATTTGCTCGTGTTTAAATCAAACCATTTGTAAAACACAGATTCTTATTTTACGTACAATGAAATTTTACTGAGAAGGTCACAGTGTTGGTGAGGGCAGCAACACGATTCCAATCTAGTTTTGTCCTTTCCTGGAGCCTATGCCGATACAAAGTTACTCAGAGTTGATTGGTTTTTTTTTTTTTTTAAAAAAAAAAAAAAGGGAATGTAAGGGGAGAAGTTTATATTCAAATTCTTAAAACAGAAAAGAAAGAATATCAAGCCAAACTAGGGAACTCAACTTTCCTTCCTCGCAATCACTTGAAATAGCATTTGGCTAGAGGGTCATGGCTATTTAGAATTAATTCGCTTTCTCTACCAGTAGATAATCGCCATGAGTAAAGGCAGCACTGGAATTCATTCTGAAACATATAAATATACCACTACCTTCAAACTCAAATAACACTGTTTCAGTGAAAAGTGAAGTCTTTATCGTATTTCTGAGACATTGTATTAGAAAGCCATTTACATACAAACTTTCTCCCTACTGTACCCACGTAATTAAGTTGATGGTTTCACTCTCTCAGGGCTGGCTGTTTTGGATATAAGTCTACAATATCCTTTTTGTGGACCAGCACTGTCCATGAAATTAAAAGGTTAATTTTAATCTTCCTAGTCTCAGTTCCTTTGGACATTCTGGTACATTTCCTTGCAGAAAATATCTTTGAAACAAAAAGTACATTTCATCACTAACATGTCCACAGAGTCACATCTCAAATTTGCACTAAGCAGGGAATTCCCTGGCGGTCCAGTGGTTAGGACTCAGCGTGTTCACTGCTGAAGGCATGGGTTCAACACCTGGTCAGGGAATTAAGATTCCGCAAGCCGTGTGATGCGGCCAAAAGAAAAAATTTGCACTAAACAAATATTCTGGAATATGATATAGTATCACTGAAAAGTCAACTAATACTTAAAAATTATTTGTTCTACTTTGAAGATATCTAAAATAACATGTAATGTCTACTCTCATTCATAGGTATTAAAGTATGTTCTATTGTAAAACAAGATTTGTGATTTTATACATTTGTAAGGATGTTAATTCATTAAAAATAATCACTAAATGCTGTGTTAATTTTTTTTTTAAAAACCTGTTTATTATGTATTAAAAAATAGTGGGAGGAAAGATAAAGTTTCAGCTCTGGTTCTTTGTGGATGTGGAGATTATGGATTTCCTTTTGAAAAATATTTATTGAGTATAAATAAATGTCCTATACATTAAATATCGAGAAATATTCATTATTGATTACAAGTCTGCTGTAATACTGAAGGAACCACAGGATCAAAATAGCCACCCATGATACGGTAGTGATAATTCCATTCCAGTATTGGACACAGTAATGATTTACTCACAAGACACAACAAAACTCACCAAAAAAGGCCATCATTTTAACCAACCTATAATACCACAAGAGAAAATGGTTTTGAATCATAATATGGACAGTCCCGCTAATCTCGTCTTTGTCATCAATTTATCAGGTCAATTTGAGATTGTGGAGATATGCTGTCATAGAACTTAAAGATTACCATTTCCTTGGTTTTATTTCAAAATTACTATTAAGGAATGAAGTTATACATACCCAATGATAATTTTAAGTAAGTTAGTCTTTGAAAAAAGAAAAGGAATAAAAATTTAGCATGAAGAAAGCTTCCTTCAAGCAATGAATCTCTTAACGGAAAAAAAATGAAAGCAATGTAATTAACTTTTCCTCCAAAGAAAGGAAAGAAACCTAAATCTGTTATGGCTAACTTGGAAAGCTAAATATTTCCTAGTCCCAGAATATGTGTTTATTTCACATGATGTACTTGAATGATGCAAGTCTATGAAGCAGGGATCTGTGGCAATCCGAATTCACCCACCAGGACTCCATCCTTATTCTTTGTGTCAGTGGGAACACCTTCTGGAATTGCAGGGCAGCTGCTGCTTCATCCAAATAAGAACTGTCTTTATTAGCCAGAAGCTCATGGCCCAGTGCAACCAACCCTGCTTCTAGGTCATCTTCATCTAATTCTGGGGTGCCGTAACTAGGACTCAGTGCTTCTTGGATTTCATTTGCATCTTCCATCATATCCTCTAGCTGGTCTTGTAGATCCTCAGTCTGGTCAAGTTTTACTTGCTTGTATGCTTTCTTCATTTCCTTTACACCCAGTTTCATAGCAACAACCGTGGTCTTGGTGTCCTTCAATGACTGGATGATGTAATTGGCTTGTTCCATGTTAAATGACTGTTGGG